AAGTGTGCGTGTGTGTTAACGTCTATATGCAATATCGGTCCTAAAGCAGAGTGATCAAAAAAGGCTAGTGTCAGGCTTTGGTCATTAAGGGTTAGTGACACAGAAATATACCATGACCAAGACTATATAAGTCCGCGATCAACTTTGGTTGAGAAAGTGTTATGTTAGCGTGTAAGTCAGGTTATGAAACCACCTGTCCTAACCTCTCAGTCTAGGCTCATTGAGGTTTATTCACCCAAAACCTGACTGGGGCTGCCTAATCTCGTACGGCAGGTTTGGCTGATGAGCTTAATCTAACAGAAGTGGGTTGACCTCGTCGCAACTTAGTCTTGTTGTCAGGGCAACTTAGTAGAACGCACCTAGGGCTAAGTCGTCTGCTATAGTAGTTGTCATGATTCCCAGCATCAAACAGTGGGCTTGGTACATTCTCAAACGTTTCGCCGGCATCGTAGTCGGCATCATCAGTGAGTTTGCGGAGAATGGCGCGTTAACCACTCGGCCACATTGCCACGATTGCCTTTGGGTCACAGGGCAAATGTGAATTTCAAGGAAGACCAGGCCTTTTGCCATATCATATTCTTTAGTGGAATTGCCAGACTCCTATTCTGCACTGTCATAGTTCGACTCCCATTGGGGGTGTTGATAAGACCGATGTGAGGTAGAAACTGCAGTCCACCCTGGATGAGAACAACTTTTGGGCTATGTGAAATTCAATGGAAAACGTCAGCTCAACTCATATCATTGTGGGAAAATTCTACTACCAGTCCCTGCGATGTGAAATTCAATGGAAACATCAGCTCAACTCATATCATTGTGGGAAAATTCTACTACCAGTCCTTTATCCCCTTAAACGAAATAGGGTGAATACATCTCATGTAAATTATAGTTAAATTTTTCTCATTGATATAAGTAAACATTAGGAAATTATGATACGAGGTTAACACTTCAGTCAATCCTTGATGAGAATACTTTTTTGTAAAATAAGGCTATTAAGGAAAAATTTAACTAATATCCCTCATAGGTGGGAGAAAGTTTTTTATAGAAAAGCCAGTCCGGATTTATCCATGCAAATTGAACCTACAGATGCAAGTTCGGCCCGATGGACTGTCCCAGATTGCTGGCACCCAATAATGCTTGCAAGTGCAAGTATAGTCGTAACCATCTGGTCCGGTAAGGTTGTATGGTCGCATCGAGCAGCGGGCGTTAGGCGAACACCAGCTTTGGTCAGAAGGACAGGGCACGATGGTAAGGCCCAGTGTTGGCACTGAAGATATAAATAACGATAAATAAGTAATTAGTATGTTTTGATATTATCAATAGATTTCGAAAAATAAAATAAGTTACTTTTTGTAGCATAGGTTTAAGTGAGGAGTGGTCATCGAATTATGAAGAGAAAATGAGTTTATAATAATTATCTAATAGATTAATATTATATTTTTCTTTGTTGGACAAAGAGAATGGGTGTGAAACGTAGATAGGCCTTACCACAAATTAAAGGAAAATAGCTATATGAGAAGTATTCACCCTATTTTGTTTAAGGTGATGAGGGACTGGTAGTTGAAGTTCCCCACAATGACGCTTCCAATAAATTTCACATAACCTTGCTTTCACAAAAGGTGTTCTCATTCAGAGTGTACTGCGGTTGACCCAGTCTAGGCCTTACAAACACCTCCAACTGGAGTCGAACTATGACAGTGCAGATTGTAATCTCGACACGTTAACGACTACGCCACATTGCTACGAGTGCCCTTCGTTCGCGGGGTAGATGCATATTTCAAGGAAGACCAAGCATAATACCATATCCTATTCTGTCGTGGGATTGCCGATGAATAGTTGGGCTGTCGATGATACAAACTTGTATTAGCCTTCACACAAGATTGCATTAGTTATATGTATAGGGATTAATAGCTTTCATTCAAAACATATTCACTACGAATATAAGCAACCTGTTCGAAACTAATGGCAAATGCAATTTTGCGCCATCGATAATCCCACCGTAAAATGCGAAATGGGATAGGTCTGAAACACCGTGAATGTTGGATTGGCTCTCTGACTCAATGGCACCCGTAGCTGTATGATGGCGTGAGAAACTGTCACCACTTGATGCACATAACCCGGTTTCAAATCACTTTAGGGGTGCTGATGGGATGAATATGTGAGTGAAAAATCAGTTCCGTCAGGACGTGAATACAATTTGTGAGGCAAGTGAAATTTAATTGCATTGTGAGAACTACTCACATTTTTGGGAAATCACACTTTAATTCCTTACATCATGTTCAACAAAATTAAGATTACTCTAGTTCTTGATATAATGCTCTAAAAAATTTAGGAACAGTTGACAATGAGTTTAACCGTTTGGTGAAAGCAAAAAATATATATTTTTTATTTGATTCAGCTTTTTACAATGCTATGAATAGCCTTCACAATGCTATTTTTCTTCATGTAAACATGCTTCCTCATTCTGAATGGAATGTAATTAGCAGGCAATTTATTATTGAAAATCAAGGGCGTCATTGCAAAATCACCGAAATAACTTCGTAAATCACCCCAAGCAACCAAGATTAACTTTTGTAATTTCTAAGAGTTAATGATAGTTTCGTGGCATACTCATACTTTACATAGTTTGATAGCCCGACCTGTTAAAACGTTGCGATCATCAAGACCATTAAGTATTGCATCCCATTTCTTACGTGCATTTTGATTATTAGTGTATGGTCAAAATCTGGTACTAATTAGCAATCTTGCCATCATTCTATAGAAGCGAAATTTATTAGCTTATATCAATCCTATGTACTTGACGGAGCCAGATTTCATATGCAGCCCGGTCGTGGAAAAGATACTAAGTAAAATGGAAAGCACAATTTTACCTATTCATATGATCTTTCCCACAAGATGCCAGTTAGGAGTGGCCAACTTTGGCTGGAAAGTATCACTAGCAGAGTGAAATAATAGGCTCATGATAGGGTGGCTTGGGATAGAGCATATTTATCTTCTAAGCCAAATGTCAGTTGTTCGAATCCAGCTGGGGATGCAGATTAGATTTATGCGAGTCTAAAATTGAAATGTATACCTGATGAAAATGATCTTATAGGATTCATTACGCGGCTAGGCCCAGTGCGAAAATTAAGGCCCTCTATTTTGACGAAGGTACCAGCCTAACTTAGTAGGGGCAGCGTCTGCTTGTGATATAGACTCATTTTATGGAAGGATCATCCTACTAATAATGGCTTGAAGGAGATGATTAGTATTGCACTAACCCTAGTGCTTGTGCAATTAAATATTTCGTTCCATTTGGCCCTGCGGCGTATAAATGCTTACTGAATTTGAAAGAGTAAGGGAGACAACAATTGTAGGGAGGCGTAAATGAAAGATGGTTTAAGGTAATAGATGAGCCCAAAATGTGGGAGGGTTTAACATAAAAGCAGGTTCACTAGGTTATTTGTATTTATAATGAGTAATACTACTTATTAAAGAGCTATTATTCTATAAAATCATATCACTATCGATGAAAGTAATGGAATATTCAATCTTGTCCCGTCGACAACCACACGATGAATGTGATTTAGGAATGGCCTGAGGAATACTTAAACTTAGCAAAAAATTTCTTATTGGACATATATAAATATCCTCTAGTTTTTTTTCTTATGCTTGCCAATATAAAACATGTATTAATTGACTAAGCTATGGAATACCAATAAACATACTAATGATGCATTTCTTTGATTTTCTTTATGTCCTTCTCTTGTTGACCTATTGATGCAGGATGAATCACCTCTACGATTCTATCCCAGTCTATTTTATGAATTCTCAGGATTTCTCTGATGCTACATTACTTGCTGTCGAACACATTTATTGGCCCCTGATCATTTCGGTATCTAGCTACATTTCTGAGTATTTGATTTTGTAAATGAACTGGTCTGTATTTGTGTTCTCATCCAGGACGGACAGCAGTTTCGACCTTGCCCATATCAACCCCAGCGGGAGTTGAACCACTCCGCCAAATTGCAAAAATTGACCTTGGGTCACAGGGCAGATGTAAAATTCAATGAAATTAAGACATTTTCCATATAACATTCTGTGTTGTGATTGCCGATGAAGCAAACTTATATTTGCTATAGTAATCGACGACATTACTTTTTTATTAGGTGAGTAGGTTTACGAGAGATATAAGTTCTATTCACTCAATTTCGTTAAAGGTGATGAAAGACTAGTATTGGATAAGACGTATGCGAGGTCGAAACTGCAGTCCACTCTGAATGAAAACACCTTTTGGAAAAGCAAGGTTATGTACGATTCAATGGAAACGTCAGCTCCTCTCATATCATTGTGAGAAGAATCAACTACCAGACCTTAATTACCTTAAACGAACTTGGGTGAATACAGCTCATATATCTGATTTGCTTGTAGTCTTGAAAACCTACTCACTTATGAAAAAAATATTGTCATAAATTGCTATAGCATATATAATTTACTTCACCGACAATCTCAACACAGAATGCAACATGGAAAATTCCCGACATTCCTTGAAATTCACATCTGCCCTGTGACCCAAGGGCACTCGTGGCAGTGTGGTTGAGTGGTTAACGTTTCAAGCTTACACGCTGCACTGTCATTATTCGACTCCCGCTTGGGGTGTTGATAAGACCTATACAAGGTTGAAACTGCAGTCCACTCTGGATGAGAACGCCTTTTGGGAAAGCAACGCTATGTGAAATTCAATGGAAAACATCAGCTCTACTCATATCATTATAAAAAAAATCAACTACCAGTCCTACCTCATCTTTCAGGAGTTTATTTGATTTCCTATTTACTAAATCCAGCTTTGTAAAAAAACAGTTTATGCAGTCAAATAAAATAGCTATAGACTAGTTATAAACTCACTGAGCAATTTCCATGCAGTGTAACTTCCAATCTTATTGTTGGGATTTGTTATTACACGCAGTTGATATTCATAATATACCGCGGGATTGAGATTTCGGATTTGATACCCTGTATGAATAGATAACAAAGTGTTCTTGAGGTCATCCAGCTTAATCTTGAACAAGTTGTAGTAAATAGCTGGACATTTCTGCTTTTAGACATTATACATAATACATTAGATTTTTCTACATTATATTTGCAAAGAATAGCTCGGTGAAATGGAACAAATAAATCTATTTTTTAAAAATAATAAGAGAAATATAGAAAATATATTAATATTGTTATTTAATAAGACATTATTAGTGATGCCTTTAGCAGCTGGCAACACATAATACAAGAACCTCACACGTTTCAGGATTAATGAACCTTGATGAAAATATTGGCGCGCCGCTAAGATTAAACTGCCGCCAGCGCACCTCATAACTTGCTTGGCAGGTTGTATTCACAGCTGTCCACTTGATGGCCTGTGTGTCCGCGTTTATGTTTATGGCATAAATCGAACCTGTGTGATTGACGACTGAAAAGGCAAGAACAACATACGGACGCATCACAAGTCTTACTTTAGCAGACAAGTATAAATTTAATAAAAAC